TATATATATATATATATATATATATATATATATATATATATATATATATATATATATATATATATATATATATATATATATATATATATATATATATATATATATATATATATATATGTACAGTTGAAGTATGAATAATTAGCCCTTTGAATTTTTTGTCTCCTTTTTTAAATATTTTCCAAATTATATTTAACAGAGCAAGAAAATTTTCACAGTATGTCTTATAATATTTTTTCTTCTGGAGAAAGTCTTATTTGTTTTATTTCGGGTAGAATAAAGCTAGTTTTAATTTTTTTAAACACCATTTTAGGGAAATTATTAGCCCCTTTAAGCTATTTTTTTTTCTCGGTAGTCTACAGAACAAACCACTGTTATACAATAACTTGCCTATAATTACCCTAACCTGCCTAGTTAACCTAATTAACTGAGTTTAGCCTTTAAATGTCCCTTTAAACTGCATAGAAGTGTCTTAAAAAATATCTATTCAAATATTATTTACTGTCATCATGGCAAAGATAAAATAAATAAGTTAATAGAAATGAGTTTTAAAACTAATATGTTTAGAAATGGGTTGCAAAAAAATCTTCTCTCCGTTAAGCTGAAATTGGGGAAAAAAAATAAACAACCTAATAATTCAGGGGGTCTAATAATTCTGACTTTAACTGTATATATACATGTATCACAACAAAACAAAATATGTTTCTAACACAACGCATCATTCTTTATAGAATAACTCACAGATTTTTCCCATTTAAAACAACGTTCAGATATTTGTATTGTACAAAAATAAAAGCAAAACCACAAGCTAAGCAAATCTTTTGTTCACAACATGCAAAGCAAAGCACGTTTTATTTACCTGAGTGTGAGTAAATCCTCAGCGCTCCAGATCTTCAGCTGCTGATCTGAGGTCTGAAGCAGAGCAGGTCTCAAACCGTCACACCCCCTCCCATGATGCTTTGGGTTTCCCGTCGACATCGCGCTCCTCAAGTGAAACAAATGTGATCCCGAGCACTGGAGCTCTGCGAACAAAACCGGCCAGTGTTCAGACAGACTCATGATCACAGAGCAGAGCATCTGTGTTTACATGTGAAAAACAGCCCATCAACAGCTCCTTTTGAGACCACATCAAGAAACACTGCGTTTGCTGACTAGCCCGACACATAATCGATTCTGCTCACTTTCAGGCTCTTTCTGTGTTTTGTTTTTTCGGGACAGAGATGGAGAGGGCTCGCTGAAGGAAACACAGAACAACTGCAATCAAAGAATTACATATGCTGTTTTTTACTCAGACTACTTATATAAACTGAGCTGAAACAACACAATTTTTGAGGACAACCTAATTGTTTTACGTTCATTCCACTTGATTTAAGTTCAGGGTTTCTGCGGGTTTAATCAAGTCAAATTTAAGACTTTTAAGGACCATTTAAAGACCATTATGAATTAAATTTTAGAGTTATACAGGGCTAAACACTAATGATTATTTCTAATGGTCGGGTCGGTTGCCACACACTAAAAACATAATGTACACTACCTGACAAAAGTTTTGTTATTGGTCCCAGTTGGAAGAGCAACAAATAATAAGTTGACTTCTAGTTGATCATCAACTGGCAGAAGGTAGACTTTTTCTGATGGATCATCAGTTGATCTGCATCCCAATCAACACAATACTGCAGAAGACCTACTGGAACCAACATGGACACAAGATTCTCACAGAAATCAGTCACGTTTGGTGAAGGAAAAATCATGGTTTGGGGTTACATTCAGTATGGGGGCGTGTGAGAGATCTGCAGAGTGGATGGCAACATCAACAGCCTGAGGTATCAAGACATTTGTGCTGCCCATTACATTACAAACCACAGGAGAGGGCAAATTCTCCAGCAGGATAGCGCTCCTTCTCATACTCCAGCCTCCACATCAAAGCTCCTGTAAGCAAAGAAGGTGCTTCAGGATTGGCCAGCCCAGTCATCAGACATGAACATTATTGAGCATGTCTGGGGTCAGATGAAGTAGGCATTGAAGATGAATCCAAAGACTCTTGATGAACTCTGGGAGTCCTGCAGGAAAGCTTTCTTCGCCATTCCAGATGACTTTATTAATCAGTGATTTGAGTCATGTCAGAGATGTATGGATGCAGTCCTCCAAGCTCATGATGGAGTCAGACACAATATTAACTTTTTTTTCCCCTGCACCATGACTTTAAATTCTATACTGGAAATTATTTCTGTTAAGTGACAAGACTTTTGTATAAGCAAAGTTAAACCTTACTGTCCTAATTAAATCATTTACAATTATTTCATCACATTTTAATTCATTTAAAATAGGCGTAATCTAGAGGCCTTTACCTTTCATATAAGCCACTTCTGATACCAAATGATCAACTAGAAGTCAAGTTATTATTTGTTGTTCCTAAAACTTGAATAGGCTTGACAGGTAGTGTATTTTTTAGCAGCATATTTTAACGTGTCAAACCAAGAAAACTCTAGTTTAATATACTTTTTCTTTTTTTAAACATAATATTTCTTTTTTTTTTAAATGACAAGTTTAACATTGCTAAAAAATATTATTCTTATAAAGCCAATTGCATAAACAATTAAAAATATACATTTGTTGGCTTTTAGTCCAAATTGACTGAGTATAATGTTTTATGTAACGTGATATGTTGCTCTGTTATTTATTTATTTTTTTTCTTTCCCTGATTATAGAATTTAATTTAGAGAAATTGCTGTAAGGTGTTGAACAGCTGTTAAATAAATTGTGTCTCTTTGAAAAAAAAAAAAAAAAAGGTTTTATTGAGATGGATTGTTGGTGATTAGATGGATGTCATCCAGATTGGGTAGCTTTACTTAGACAAAGGAAAATAAAGACCTATTTAAAATTATTTAAGACCTACAAGATAATATTTCAGTGAATTTTAGACTTTTTAAGGCCTAAAAGTTTGTTTTTAAGACTTTTTAAAACTCTGCGGGGAACCTGAAGTTAACTGAATGTTGTCTCAACATAATTAAATAGACAGCTTAATTGTTTTATATTCAATCCACTTATATTTGTTAAGTTAACTTAATTGATTTGTGTTGAGACAACATGAATTCTTAATAATTTTAGGGCTAATATGAATTTAGGGCTAATAATTTTGACACCAACAGTAAATAAGGTCCAAAACTTATTATTATTTCTGTATAAAAAAATATCTGTGATTATTTATCTCAGTTTATTTAGATTTTCTGGACAACTATCTGATTAAGAATGTCGAAATATAAACTAAATATTAATGCAATTGTAAACACTTTTCAAAAGCTAATCATTACACAACCAGCATCCACTGCACTCCAGCCTTGAATGATGTAGCATTAACATAACACATGTATTGTGCGAGACCACAAAGTAAATGATATATAGCAAATTAAATTATACAGGTTCGTAGCCAGAGGAGGTTCAGGTGGTTCGAAAGACCCACCCCTCACCGACAAAGGTCCATACATGAGCTCATTTGTCCTATTGTGACTACTATGTCATAATAAATTGTGAAAAAAAAAACTCTCAAAAGAAGGCTTTAATCCTGCATTGGCTGTTATATTAGAGTGACTGAGGAAAAGTAAACGTACTGGCCACATATGACAATAGGCTACAGTGTTAAAGTTAAAACCTTTACAGATTTCTATTTTTTTTTTTCTAATGATAAATTATGTAATAAATTTGTATTTCAAAAATATGCTCATATTTATATATATAAACTCAATTAAATAGAAATTTTTTTTTTCATTTACTCACTTATTACACGGCTATTATCCACAAAAGTAAACGATTTGAAACAAAATTCTGATCTGAGCTGTAATATTATATTCGTAAATCTTGCAGTAAGTATGCAAGATGGCGCCAATCAAAAACAGCCACGTGACTGATCCTGATCGGTAATACTCATCCTTCATTCATCCATTTTCTTGTCAGCTTAGTCCCTTTATTAATTCGGTGTCACCACAGCGGAATGAACCGCCAACTTATCCAGCACGTTTTTATGCAGCGGTTGCCCTTCCAGCTGCAACATGTCTCTGGGAAACATCCAAACACACACACACACACACACACACACACACACACACACACACTACAGACAATTTAGCCTACCCAATTCACCTGTACCGCATGTCTTTGGACTGTGGGGGAAACCGGATCACCCGGAGGAAACCCACGCGAACGCAGGGAGAACATGCAAACTCCACACGGAAACGCCAACTGAGCCGGGGTTCGAACCAGCGACCTTGCTGTGTGGTGACAGCACAGTAATACGCATAAATAAATATTTATATTTTCCCAGAGATGGTTAGCGGCTGGAAGGGAATCCGCTGCATAAAAATGTGCTGGAAAAGTTCATTCCACTTTGGTGACCCCTGATTAATAACAAGACTAAGCCGAAAAGAAAATGAATGAATGAATAAATAATAATATTAACAATATACTCACTTTTAGTATGGGCCAGGATGAATACACAGAGAGCCTGTGTTATATTAGTTTGAGCGTGAATAACCCTATAGAATAGACACCTAAGAAGACTTTGGAATAACATATCTTGAGGCCCGAT